CCCCCCCCCCCCCCTTCGCCCGATATCATGTCGCGACGAAGCCAATTCGCCGAGAAGGGCCGGTGCTCTCCAAGCAGGCATCCTGGAGGAGTTGGGAGTACCGCCGCCGCGAGATTCGCATCTGCTTCGCCCACATCAGGGGAGGCCGCACGAATTCCATCTGCCGACTACTGCATTCCTTCACATTTGGAAGCTCGCGGGGGTTCAACGGGAGGGGCTCGAGGCAATCCGGGCCGGGCTAATGACGGAACCGGCGGCGGGGGCGGAAGTAGCGCAGGCAGCACTGTCAGTCGGGGGGGGTGGCGACAGGATCAAGGCATCTTCCTTCTTTCGGTCCGGGAAACGCTGAGAATGCAAATAAGGGCACGGGTATTCCGGGGCAGCGCAGAGGGCTACCTCAGGTGTGTACGAGGTTGTGCGTGACTGCCGCGACCAAACTCGACTTCTTGTAGCGGCTGGAGAGAAGTTTTTTTTTGTTGTTTGTTTTTCTCCCATCATTGGACTCTTTCGTCTGCCCCTCTGGCCCCTGTCCTCCACGTCTACCAGCTAGACGGCCCAACCGGGGTCACATGGGAGGGGGGGATTGGACCCCCTCCTGCGGTTCCTGCCTGAGATGTTTTTATCGCGAGAAGGGTACAGCAATCCCTTACCTCGCGACTTATGAAGTCGATTAAGTTTAATAACAACGAGCTTTGCAGCGTGTCGCTTCCAACGGCGACCAGGATTTAATTAGCGAGAAAAAACTCACTCTGTCGGGACTCGAACCCATGACCGGCCCTTAGCAGGCTGCGAGGCTATCCACTAGACCACCGGGGCGACGGTGTCGGTGCGGGAATCTTTATCTTGTGTGGCTGGGATTTGCTTGGCCTGTCTTGACATGCACGACGCAAACATTGATTCCTTGCGAATCCTGGAAGACGTACTGCCGATACCCCAGGTAGGTCCAACGCGGGTACGGCAATGGTTTGGAGAGGTAAAAAAGTTCCCCTTGATCGATTCGCTTGTGCAACCGTCTCATTCGGAGCTCCAGAATCGGTTTCAGCAGGGGGTGACATCATAGCAGCCTTGCGTACGGCAATCATAGGTCCGCACTACAGCACGGTGTACAAATTCTCGAAAATGTTGCAGAAGATGCCCTATGGCAGAGCTTTCGTTTTCCCGAAAACCGCGGCGTGTCAGATTGGGGGTTTGGGCGTGTCAACGCTCGGAGTGGTCGTCAACCCGAAGAATGCACGGTACCGGTACCCGACGAGTCAATCCTTGCGGGGTACCAAGTTTCCTCCCGAAGTAGGCCTGTACGGCAGACTGGTATGTGCTGGACGTTTGACGTATTTTTAAAAATATGTTGGTTTCTTGTTTCGGTTTGGAGTTTATCCATGATGGAGTTGGAATGCAGAATTGGCATGCTGGATTGTATGGAATCACGCGTTACTGTTGCACTGCTGTCTTAAACCATGGGGGGGGGGAAGTGATACCATGATGTCCGCCGCAGTGCAACAAACAGTATTTCTGAGATCGAGTATTATTCGTGTACTTGTTCCGTAGTTTATGTTTGGATTATCTGCCTCTTATCTGCGGAGTTGATATGGATTCGAATGTCCATTACTTAGTGGGATATTGGTAGTTCATGTTTGGGTCATTTCCCGCGTTCTACCTGCACGGTTGAGTCTTATTTTTTTTTGTCTCACTTCAAATCAGCCCTCACAGCTAGTGCCGTTTAGGCCAAACCGTGGTCACACAGAAGGGCCCCTCTCTCTCTGTCCTCCCCTCCTGCAGTACGTTACCTGCGATTTCTAATGCGAGAAGAGTTCAGGACTCTCTTCCCTCTGTGTACACACGAATTATCAAATAGCGCTACGCACTAGGCCAGGAGCGGAAGCGAGAGAAAAACTCACATCGTAAGAAAAGCTCGCTTACGCCGGCATTCGAACCGCTGACCTGACCTCTTGAAGGATTCGAGGATACCAACTAGACCACCGGGGCGATTGGTCTGATATGGAATTAAACATTGAACGGGATTTTCGTTGCGGTAATTTGAGATGAGGCTGTTGGATGACGAGCTGACGTGGAGGAATCGAAGCTGCAGCAGGAGTAGTAGTGAACGTTTTTCTATACGCTTGTTTCCGAACAAGTTTGTTATGTACTTAATTAATCGGTTTGTGTGCGGGCTTTGCCCTTCCTTGTATGTACTGGTATGTGTATTGAAGGAAGTGTTTGGCATGTTTTGAGAAGTCATGGTTGAAGCCTTTTGGTTCCTCCGAATTGTAATTGAACTGGTCATTCATTTAGTTCAACATGATGAGTGCTCTCTGAGGAATTTGTTCTGAGTGGGTGGGGCACGTTTTGCCGGGCTACCCGTCCCCATTCTGACGCAACTCCGATGTAATGTTGATCTTTGGTATTTTTCCAACGGCAATTTTGTTTTCGTTTGACTTTTGAGAATTTCGTAGAGTATTTCCTCAAGAAGGTGGTTTGTTAGTTGACCGACCTTTTGACACTATTCATCAGAAGATGTGAAAGATTTCGTTGACCATGTGTTACTGGGAGATCGAAAGATACATTCTTTTTTGGGGAGATATTAAAATATATATATATATATATTTGTTTATATTGGAAAATGATGGATGACTTTTGTTTGGATCGATGGGCAGCTTGATTTATTGCCGTTTACCTGGCAACGATAATCGTGACGGGGATTTCGTAGATCGTATCATGTACCGAGCAGGGGGTCTGTTTGGGGTGCTCAACAGAGTGTGCTGTCTACGGGGCCTCCGGGGGATATGCGAATGCAATATTGATGGACATGCCAAATGGCGATGGGGTTGCCTACCGCATGAATCTCACTCTAAGCAACAAGGTCTTGAGCCAACCTTCTTTCTCTTATGGCCTCTGACGAGCTACCGCACCGAAACGGAAAAAAGAGCTGCCCGGGAACTTAACCGCAATGATATATGAATACGTTGTTGGTCACCGTACAACACGTTAACCCCCAGGGTTAATCTACCGCGAAATCCTATCTGACCGTGGAAGAGAAAGGGTGTGGTGATAGAGAAATTCGCCGGTCTACGTTTGTTGTTGTGGTCACAACGTGAACAGTCGGTTCGGTCGTTGCTCAGTGTGGCCCAGGGCAAGTACCCAATGGACGTATATCGCAAAAAAAAACACGTTACGCAAGAAGGAAAATGCCCCAAGGAGGCACAAAAATAAACGAATAAATAAAGACGAGCACCTTCTGTACTGATGATGATGCCGTTTGGTTTCTGATGTTGCACGTTGTCTGCATTATGTTGACATAGGCTGTCGCAACGA